GCACAGAAACAGGCAAACCGCCTGAGACATCCCCACAAAATGGCCGCGAACGAGCCCGTGCAACCACCCCTGGCGGCTCCCCTTAGGGGTGCTGAAATGAGCGCCTCGCTCGAGACATCCTCCAAATCTGCTCCGAAAGCGAAGGATGTTGGGCACAGAAACAGGCAAACCGCCTGAGACATCCCCACAAAATGGCCGCGAACGAGCCCGTGCAACCACCCCTGGCGGCTCCCCTTAGGGGTGCTGAGTATGAGTAAGTCTGTGTATGACTAGGTCTGTGTATGTGTACGTCTGGGTATGACTAATACTGTGTATGAGTAAGTCTGTGTATGAGTAAGTCTGTATATGAGCATGTCTGAGTGTGACTATGTCTGAGTATGAGTAGGTCTGAGTATGAGTAAGTCTGAGTATGAGTAAGTCTGTGTAGGAGCAAGTCTGAGTATGTCCGACAGGAGGGGAGGAGAAAAGAGGAGGAGGAAGGAGGAGGAGGAGGAGTAGGAGGCGTCCAAGTAATAACAATAACCCCATCTTAGGATATGGGGAAAAAACAAAGCCTGGAGGTACATGGCGATCGCGAGCCGAGCGATGACCAGGGGGGAGCGCATCTGCCTAACACGACACAAAAGCATCCTGAGGTTGATGGTCTCGTAATACTTGCATTCGCCGGCCCAACGGGCCAGAGGCGTGCTAAGATCTCCGGTAACTTGTTAACAATATTTCTAGTTCGCGCGCGCGGAGCGGCCCCTGGGGGCCCCCGGACGAAAAGTACCCCGGCAAGGTCCCGAGAGAAGCCCGGGAGAAGCCACCAGACCACTCCAGGGGAGGGTATTTTTCGACACCCCTCACGAGGATCGTGGCCTCCGAGGGGGGAGCCGCAATCGACTACCCCCAAGAGCCCCCCAAGAGGCCCTGGGGGCCTCCAAAACGCCGCCAAGGAGCCCCAAGAGACTCCCAAGAGGTCCCCAAGAGGCCCCCAAGAGGCCCTAAAGAGGGCTCCAGGGCCGGCGGCATGAGCGAAGCGATTAAATAAATCGAGCAGCACCGTGGCCGCTTCTTCCTTGATCAAAGTGGAAGTATCAGCCCGCGCCGCCTGTCCCCAGACAACGTCCTGAGCCTCCTCGAAAGGTCCAGCCGCGAAATACTCCCTAGCGTGGGTGAGCCCCCACTCTTGGGCCAGCGGACGGCGCGCCTTGCCGCGCGCGCGGCGCAAAGCCCAGAAGGTCCCCATCGGCCGAAATCCCGAACTCACCTTAAGGAGGAGAGTGAGGAGGGTAACGGAGATCTGGACAGGGACCAGAGCGGTGCATTCCATGAAGGCGAACAAATCAGCCACCATGAGCAGCAGCGCATCGCTCATGAGAGCGAAATGCTTCATGTGGAAGCCATCCACACTAACCGAAGTGTTTTCCTTTAACTTCCGCGAGAACACTCGAATGGCTTCCACAGGCGCAGGCCCCAGAGGTGGGACCAGCTCGCCAACTTCGAACCAGCTACCCTCGCCCCCCTCACCCCGAAGCTGAGCAAACTTGGAGGGCCCCGCTTTGAGGAGGGAGAGAGGGTCGGCCACCGCCACCCCGTCCAGGGACAGGGCGGTGGTGGGGGTCCAGGGGGTGGCCCCCTTAGAGGCCGCGCGGACGCGACGCCCCCCCCCCGATCGGCTTTGAACAGAAGCCACCCTCTCCACTCCTTGTCGGTTCGTTTCCTGGACGACGCCTCAACCCCGGCCAGCGCCGCCTGGAAGGCGCCCACGAAGTGGGCGAACAAGTCGAACGAGGGCCCTTCCTTGGCCTCGTACATCGGCAGCTCGCAAATAAAATCACGCAGGGCACCTAAGAAGCCACTAGCCGAGCCTAGGTGCTGCACATGCTGAGGCGGCGACTCCAGCACAGCGGGCACGGAGTTGATGCCCGCCTGGCTGCCGCTCGCCCAGTAGCCTTCGAAATTGCAGAACATGTTGGCCAATCAGCGACAAGCGAAAAGTTCGGAGCCCCCAAGAGCGCTCTTCCTGTTCAGACTAGGCTCGCCCCTCGCGCCCCGCACAGGCAAGACCTTACCCGTGGCAGCGGGCGCCTCGCGCTCAGCAGCATTGGCCCAGAGACGGTACGCACGATCAAGGGCATCCTGGGCCCTTTTCCAATCACCCTGCCCAGCGGCAGCCCTAGCCGACTCCAAGACATCATGGGCCCTGCGGGGAGGGGGCGCCAACTCGAGGACCTGCACGGGGGCCAGGGGGGCCGTGGGGGGCGGCGGCGGGCGTCGAAAGGCGAGGGCCTGGAGACGGCCCAGCCTGGGATGTGCAACGACTTGCACGGGGGAGTGGGGCGTGAGGCTACTCTCACGGATGACCTTAACCTGGCTAGCAGCCTTGGCCACGTCGGCCGAGGCGATAAACGAGTCGTACTGCTAGAGTCCTGCCGTCGACTTACACGTGTGCCCATCAGGGGCCAAATGCTGGATTTCCTCCGTCCTGGCCCCCAGGCCTCCCGAGAGGAACGCCCTCGGCCCATGTTGAAATCAGCCCCAACAAAAAAAACTGGCAACCCAAGGCCTGACCCATGGAAAGGCACGAACACAGCAGGTCAATATTTTCATCCGGCAGGTCCTGGCAGTCGTGGAAGTAGGCCGATAAGATGGCGAGCTGCGCCTGCCCTGGGATGTCCACGATGCCCGCGAGGGCTCTCCCCGCCGAAATCTGATGACCAGATGGCGGCGCAGCCAGGCCCAGGGGCTCTCTCTCTCACGAACAGCGCCACGCCAGCGGAGGGGCCCCCTCCGTCGCCAGACACAGCCGCCACCCACAGGCTCTTCCACCCGTGGCGTCTCGCCCACGACGAAGCCGATGCCACTTTGTGCGGCATCTGCTTATGCTCCTGCATGACCACGACGTCAGCTCCAGCATTCTGTAACCGCAACTGTCCAGATCCCCAGCCCGAGACATTGCAAGTTTCGAACATTGGCGCGAGCTGGCCCAGAGGGGGCGCCTCGGCCTCCAGAGGCCGCAGCAACTGATCGTGGTGCCTGGGCGAAACGCCAGGCATGAACGGCCCGCGGCGCTCCGAAAACTTGGGAGTCGGGTGTGGGCCACCACGTTAGAGGGCCGACATGGCCCTGGCTAGCGCGTGACCGCACCTTTCAAGAGAGAGGGGCGAGCACCTGAACGAGAACCGTCGGTAGTGGCGTCGACCAGGCGCTCCCCGCGTTCTTACCAAGGTTCTCGAACGGTGCTGCAGCAAAAGCTGGGGATGAGGAAAGCAGAAACTTAGACTGCACAGTGCCTGCTCGTGGCTCAGGGCTCAGGACAAGCACAGCTGCGCCTCTCGCGAGAGGCCGTCGTCGTCCGCGATGCCCCCCCCTCAAGCGGAACTTGCGGGGGGGTCGCCGTGCAGCACCCTGTCGGCGCGAGAGCGAACGTCAGCAGGTGCGGCAGCAGGTGGCGCGTGGCTGCCCTGCCCCGCGGGCGCGGGCGACTCCTCAGGAGCGGGTGCCCCGCCCTCGCGCCCACTGGCAGCGCCAACGTCGCCAGGGGCTGTGGCAGCACCTCCTCATGCGCTGTCAGCGCCACCTCCTGAACCTGCAGCACCTTCAGCGGGTGGATCGTCTTCGCCATCAGTGCGTCGACGCTTGGCTTGAAGACGCTGGAGCTGCTCAGCCTGCGCATCCTTGAATGCGTTCGGCTTGGCGGCCGCCTCGCCGAAGAGCCGTTGCACCGCAGCCTGGGTACCTTCTTGTAGTTGTTCCGATCTGTTGTTCGCCTCGAGCCTGTCTTCTTCCGAAAACTCGTACTCTGACTCGGCGGTGAGCAAGCTGCCCAAGCAGATTGGGAGCGCCTCACCTTTGAGCAGACCGTCGATGATGAGCTTCGGAGCGGGGACAGACTCACGCGGCGCTACTGGCGAAGCCTGCAGTCGGCTGACGAGCGACTTGTGCTTCTCCTCAGCGACCTGCAACTCCTCTCGCAACGTACGAACACGGTCACGTTGTTCGTCCAGCTCGCCCACCAGCCGCTCGTACACGTTGAGGCTCTTCCCGAGCTTGGACTCCAACGTGCGCATCTCGTTGAAGGCTCGGTTGACCTGGTGCTCCAGAGGGACCTGGGCCTTTGCCTCCTCGGCTTGGCGGCGGAGGCGGGCGTCGAGCTCCTTCTGCCACTTGTCGGCGCCCTCGGGGTCCCCCGTGCGCCGCAAGCCGTCCACGAGCCCGCGCAACTGGTCGATGTCGGAAGGGCTGACTGGTCGCTTCACGATGAACCCCGCCACCTCCAGACCAGTGCGCGGGGTGGCACGCCAGGCCCAGCAATTCTTGCACTGTGCCCAACCCTGCTTGTTCTTCTTGCATCCACATGAACTGCATGTCCACGTCGAAACTCGAGAGAAGTCGTCCCACTCCGACCCGTCGTCGATGCTGGCCTGCTCGCGCCACGGCCAGCTGCTCCGCGCGTGGGCTCCATACCCTCGCTGAGCGGCAGGCGGCGGCGCCATGGCAGCGCGGAAGACCTGAGTGGGGAAGGTATCCTGTCGAATCGTTTGGCTCGCAGGAGCGCGTGCCCTTCTGAAAAACGTCCCTGCAACGCAACTTGGCGCAGAAGGGCTAGGAGGAGGAGGAGTAGGAGGAGGCGGAGGAGGAGGAGGAGGAGGAGGAGGAGGAGGAGGAGGCGGAGGAGGAGGAGGAGGAGGAGGAGGAGGAAGGGGAGGAGGAGGAGGAGGAGGAGGAGGAGGAGGAGGAGGAGGAGGAGGAGGAGGAGGAGGAGGAGGGAAGGAGGAGGAGGAGGAGGAGGGAGGAGGAGGAGGAGGAGGAGGAGGAAGGGAGGGAGGAGGAGGAGGAGGAGGAGGGAGGAGGAGGAGGAGGAAGGGGGGAGGAAGGGGAGGAGGAGGAGGAGGAGGAGAGGAGGAGGAGAGGAGGAGAGGAGGAGGAGGAGGAGGGAGGGACGACGACGGGGAGGAGGAGGAGGAGGAGGAGGAGGAGGAGGAGGAGGAGGAGGAGGAGGAGGAGCAGGCGCACTCCCGCAAGGGCGGTGGCGCGTCGCGAGCCCAGCCGCCGCGTGCGCCGCGAGAAGGGCCCCGCGGGCCGCGTCCTCGGCGTCGCGCCGCGCAGCAGGCGGCGTGAGACGCGGCGAGTGCGCCTGCGCCCGAGGGACGCAGCCCGTCGGCGTGGCGACTGAGCACAGAGGGTGCTCTGCCACGGAGGCCTCTGGTGGACCTCCTTGTGGGGCCGCGATCCTCGTGAGGGGCGTTCTGGAGTGGGCGGGGACACAAGCAAGAGAACCCATAATCGAATCGATGAGTCGGATCTGCGATCGAAATAAATCGGATCGGCGGAAATCGGCAGCCGAGTCGGGAAACGTCGAGTCGGCGGAATTAGGCAGGCTAATACGCCTCCGACAAGGAATCGGAACCCAAATCGGAATCCCCGAATCGAATCGAGATCGGGAACCATCGTAGTCGAATCGACTCGAACCAGAGGAATCGAAACGCGCCCTGCGCATGCGGACCCTGCCATTGAGGCCTCTGGTGGAGCTCCCAATGGGGCCACGATCCTCGTGACGGGTGTGCCGCAGTGGGCTGGGGACACATGCGGACCCTGCCGCTGGGGACTTCGGCAGAGCTCCGTACGGGGCCCCGATCCTCGCGAGAGGTGCGCCGAATAGACACGCGGAGGGCGGAGGCAGGGCTAAGAGGAAGGAGGGGGAGGAAGGAGGAGTGCGCGAGGCGCGGGGGCGCTCTCGATTCAAAGCGAAGGTCCAGCACCATAGGCTGGCCGGGAGCACAACAGAAACGCTCCGATGAGACAGACAACGACGAAGCGGACGAGGTCATGCCAGGAGGGCCTCTTCCTCCTCCCCCCCCCTGCCCGTCCTTTTCCCGCCGCTGCCGCCCCCCCCCCCCTGCTCCTCCTGCCCTCCTCCTCCCCGTCTTGGGCGCTCCGTGGTCCGGGCCAAGGGCACCTTCGCAGGCCGCCCGGCGGCCTGGCAGCGGGTCGTTCTGGCGGCCCCTGGGGGGGTCCTCTTGGGGCCCCTCTGGGGCCACTGCGGGCCCGCACTTCCTCCCGCCGCCCCCTGCGAGGGACAACGATCGGGGGGGACTGGCCTAGGCTAGGGCTCCCAGCTTCGCGCTTCGCGCTGCGCGAAGCGCGAAGCGCGAATAACTTCGCGCTCTCGCGCCGCCCTCCCAAAGGGAGAATAGGAGGACGAGGAGGAGGGGGAGAAGGAACGAGGACCGCGAAGCGCGAAGCGCGAATAACTTCGCGCCCTCGAGGGAGCCCTTGCCTAGGGGGGCATGCATCGATCTAGAATCGGCGGCACATCGTCGAGAGCTCGGCGAGAGGCCCCCGCGAAGGAACCTGCACGCTCCTGGGCAGGTTGGGGCTATCGGGCCCCCATCGGCGATTGACGGGCGAGTGGGCCTCGATGCATCCCCCCCTATGCCTATCCCCCTCTATCGTTGCCCCTGACCCTGCCTCCCGCCCCCTGTGCGCTCAGCGAAGACAGTGGCAGGTCCTGCTTCCCACAGAAGGGGTGCTGCCCACACTGCGCTTCCCCCCCCCCCAAACGGTTTTTGGGCTCCAGAACATCAGCGCCAACATCGTCATTGTTATCGTCGTCCCCCCTCAAGGTCGGCGGCACCGGCCGTAACTCCTTCGCTGTAAGAATTGCTGCCCCCGCCTCACCACCACTCCACCGCCCCCCGCCGCCGCGGCCGCTGAAGCATCGGCCCTGCGACCGGCCTGCTCGAGTCGGACCCCTTCTCGAAACTGCCCCGTGGCACGCCGTCCCGGGGTCCGGGGCAGAGTACGCGCGAGACCGAACACGCATCCGCACCCCCAGCCGCCATCGTCACCAAAATCCCGGCTCGAAGCCTCATTGTTTTCTCTTGCGCACCTGTGTCCTGGAGCTGGGAGTGCATTGATTTGCTGATTCGTGGTTGATCGACCGCCCCCCCTTCACTTGGCCGCTCCCCTCGTCTTTCTGGCGGGTCCCCGCACCTGGCCGCCGAAATGTCCCTTACCATCGCCCCCTCAGGGCCTGTCCCTGGCAGCTCCCTCGTGCAATAGTCACGGCACGCGTGCCGCTGGTTTCGCACCACCCCGCCCCCCGACCCCCCCACTGCTCGATCTCCGCACCGCGTCCTCGCGCAGGCGAATAGAACCAGGGTGCGTGATGCGCCCCCCGGCCCCCCCCACGACCACGACCACGTCGTCGACGACGACGATGACGACCACGACCGCGACGACGACCACGACCACGACGGCGACCACGACGTCCACGACCACGACCACGACCACGACCACGACGACGACGACGACCCGCAGCTCCGTGGCTCGCTGCTCGGCGGCCTCCAGGCTCCGCGCCTC